TAGTTTTTTGGGTCTTCCAAGTAAAGTATCACATCATCTGCAAATAAAGATAATTTAACTTCTTCTTTGCCTATTCTTATTCCTTTTATTTCTTTCTCTTGTCTAATGGCTGTAGCTAATGATTCCAGAACTATATTGAATAGGAGGGGTGATAGAGGACATCCTTGTCTTGTACCCGATCTAAGAGTAAAAGATTTCAGTTTTTCTCCATTTAGGATTATGTTAGCTCTTGGGTTTTCATAAATGGCTTTTACCAGATTGAAGTAGAGGCCTTCTATTACAATTTTCTGTAGGACTTTGGACATGAATGAGTGTTGGACTTTGACAAAAGCCTTTTCTGCATCAATTGAGATCATCGTATGGTTTTTGGATTTGGCTCTATTGATATAGTGTATTTTAAAAATTTTTTTCAATTTTTTAATTAATTTTATTGAGAAATAGCAGTGAGACAGTTTAAAAACTGATTAATAGGACAGCTTCAATAATTAATACATTGCATATTATTATCTTAGTGGTTATTCACAGTACAAGATGCAGACATGATATCTTGTCCAAATACTATTAGTACAATTTTTTTTCTCATTGAATTAAGAAAAAGTTGCTATATACCTATCCCAACCATTTTGTATATATAGATACAAAATGATTCTTCCTTTTTATACCCTTTTTTTGTTTAGTTTTGTTAGAGATGGGTATTCCATTGCCATTTAAATATGGTGGTGCGTGAATTCAGCAAAATAATCCAATATAGTCCAGTAGTCCATATTAGTAGTTGGTTATCCATAGGACTGGCAATGTTAGAAGTTGTTGACTTGAGCCTTTCACAGCTCAGCATATTAATATGGCTTTACTTTTTATACTTCATTTTTATACTTTTCTGCTGGATGGTTAAGACTAAGATAAAACAAGGTCTATATAATAAGAAATGTATCTTTTGTATCTGAGAAGGTCAGTCAAGTCCCCTCAGGATTTATCCTATTACCTGTACTGCAGTTTGCAGATCTTTTGTCAGTGTCAGTCATGTGGATGTGTCACGGTCATTGCTTGACCAATTTGCTCTCTGTGAAAGCCTGGGAGAATGTTTTCTCTCCATGTGACTCTCCTTAGGCACATTCTACATCATCAATCACATTGCTCTGTGGCCCCATAATTTCCTTGATCAGAAAATTTGGAGCACAACTGAGGTACATGATGTTACAGTATAGGTTCTGCTATGTCCTGAGTCTTCACTTACCTTGAAAGGCTAGGGCCAAAATGTTGGCTGTTCTTGCAGCTTTTCTCTAATTTTTGGTCTGCAAACTTAGGTTTAACCCTCCAGAAGAGAAGCTTATTATTACCCTACAACATAGGCAGTTGGGTTTAACCTAACTATCTGTCTGAATATCAAACATCTTAGGCATAACATGGAACAGGTATTTTCCATCTAGTATTGATATGTCAAACTTTAAATCTCTACACAATATGGAGGAAAAAAATTTAAAAATAAAAAATGTTTAAAAATTTGAATAAACCGTTACATAGTTTTACACAGAAATTTAGAAATCTAACCATATACAGCATTGTAGCAGGAAGTGACATTTTTTTCTTGTCTCTTTTTCATTTATTACCCCCCTTTTTTAAACAAACATTTACTTGAGGGACAGCATGTCAATAACTGGTATGTCACGAGACAAGCAGCGCGTATTTAGAAGACCAGAATGACAGGCATTCCAAGGGTGACCATTCTATTACACATTGCTTTCTTTTTTTTTTTTTTCTGGTGGTAGCAGGGATTGAACTCAGGACCTTTTTGCTTGCCAGGCAAACAGTTATTCCACTGAGCTATCTCACTGGCCCCTACACATTGCTTTCTTCAGTGCAGTTGCTTAGTTTACAGGTATCAGCATATATAGTTAGTCAGGGTGAGAATCCTACCAATTAACTGCTAATTTCAAAAACCTGCTGTTTCTCAGGATCATTGCCTTACCCATCTTGTGTGTGTATAAATCTATGGCTTTGCCCCCTGTTACATTTCCTAGCTTTTTTTCCCCTGCTTTCTCTTCACTGTCTAATCCTCAAGTTCTCACCTTCCTTTTAATTCTGTTATACCTTTCTATTTGTCTTCTTTTGAGTTCTTATACTAGAGAGACTATATGTAATTTACATATGTGGGTTTTGTTTATTTCACTTATGAGTATATCTTCAAGTGGCAACCACTTAAATATAAAAGCTTCCAGTATGTCATTCTTCATAGCTGAGTAATACTCCACTGTATAAAAATACCACACATTTTTCATTCATTCCTCAGGTGATGGGCATCTTGGTTGTTTCCAAATTTTGGCTATCACAGATTGTGCTGCTATAAACATAGGAACACATTTATCACTATGATATGAGGTCTTCAGATCCTCCGGGAAAATTCTCAGTAGGGGGATAGCAGGTTTGAATGGGATTTCCAGTACTAGTTTTTTAAGGAGTCTCCACACTGATTTCCATAATGGTTGCACCAGTCTACATTCCCACCAGCAGTGGAGAAGGTTCTTTTTTCCCCACAGCCTCTCCATTTGTTTTTGGTTAATTTCTTTATGATAGCCATTCTTTCTGGGGTGAGACGGTATCTCAGTGTTTCTTTAATTTGCATGTCACAGATGGCTAGTGATGTGGAGCATTTTTTCATATATTTATTCGCTTAATTTCGTCCTCTGAGAAGTGTGTGTTCATCTCAGATGCCCATTTTTGGATTGGGTCTTTAAATTTTGGGGCCATAATGGTTGTTAGTTCTTTATAAATTCTAGAGAGCAGACTTTTGTCTGAGTGCTTATTAGTCAAGATTTTTTTCGAGATTTGTGGGTTGACTTTTCACTTTGTTGGTAATTTCTTTTGACATGCAAAAACTTCTCAATAAGAGGAGGTCCCAGTTAATTCTTTCAGCTATTACCTGTGCGTCAAATCTGACTTTAAATTCATGACAATACCCGAACGTATCCAAACGTATGCCTGTGGTGCTGACCAGAAAGCCCACCCATAAATGTCACTGGTCCATCCACTCTCTTACTCCTTGAGGCCCTAGCTAATGGCCCTTCTCATGTAAATTCACAATTCCTGCTTTCTGGCAGTGATTTCCCTGTTATCTGGGGAAAGAAGGAAGCACCACAGAGCCCACACAAGGGGCACCACTTCTGCAACCTCCTGTACCTTACTCATACATAAGGGCATTCACAGAGAGCACATTGGCCAAGCAATGGCTGTGACTCATCCACATGGCTGACACTGACAAAGGTTCTACAATCTGAGGTGCAGGATCTCAGGATAAATCCTGAGGGGATTTCACTGACCTTATCAGACCCAAAAGCTACAACTCTTGTTGCATAGGTCCTGCTTTACCTTGGTCTTGGCCATCCAGCAGAAAAGTATAAAAACGAAATATAAGAAGTAAAGCCATGCTGTTATGTTGAGCTGTGGGGGACTTAGGTCAACAATTTCTGACATTGCCAGTCAAGCGGAAGACCCAGTACTATTATGGGCTACTGGACTCTTTTAGAATATTTTGCTGAGTTTACACACCTATAATATTCAAATAATGGAACTTAACAAAAAAAAGGTATATAGACGATTGTATCTGTGTATTCAAAGTGGTTTGGATAGATATATAGTTACATTCTCTTAATGAATAGAATGATTCTTGTACAGCAATTAACCACTAGGAAGAACGTATGCAGTGTGTTAATTATTGAAACTGTCCTACCGATTTGATTTGCAACTGTTTCATTGCTATTTGTTTATCAATAAAATTATGGGGGAAAAAAGGGCATTACCCTCGCTAAGGTGAAGAGCCCCTCCAACGCTCTTGGCTCCTAATCAAGGATACTGCCTAAGGGGTCAGGGTGTGGGCCAGTGGCAGAGCATCTGTGCAGCATTTACCAGGTTTAAAGTTTGATGATTCCCGTCACTGAGTGAATTAATCCACTGAAGACATGGCAGCATTGCCTACAGGAGTTTGCTGAGCCAGACTGTCCAATAATTCCACTGAAGTTCCAATCTGAGTGACGGATGGAGTCCGAACAATATTCCTAGCTCCAAAAGGGTGTTGGCTTCCTTCTCTGGATTTAAGCCCTGAAATTTTGAAGATAGCACTTGCCTTTCCATTTGTGACAAATCCTAGGAGTTGGCATACTGGCATTTCATTTGAATCAGGATAGAAAAAGTAGACAGATCCTCCCATTCCCTCAGGTAACGTGACTGTTCTCAGCATAAAAACCACTACATGGTTGATATTTTCATAATCAGGCAAGTAAAAAACAAATTTATCCTCTGCCACTTGCTGTGCAGCTGTTTGCACCTAAATTTCAGTTATTTTATCCACCAACTTCAATGCCATTATGTGTATTTGTACCAGGATCCTCACAAAGGTGCCCGAGCAGCTCATCTTTGACAGTGTGCTAGAGACCAGATTAAAATCCCGCATTTACTCGTGATTCGTGTCATGTGTTTGGCGAGCATTTACACTACCTGCTGAGTTTAGGCTCCTCTGCTGAAAGCAGTGACTAGGAAGGCTGTGGGTGCTACCGTAGTGGAGCCCAAGAAGCTTCCAGAATCTGCGAGTGGAAGTCAGCTGCTCCATTCCTAGGTGACTCGGTCAGCAGCGGGAACTGATATAGTGTATTACATTCATAGATTTGCGTATGTTGAACCATCCTTGCATCCCTGGGATGAATCCTACCTGGTCATGGTGTGTGATCTGCTTGATGATTTGCTGTATTCTATTTGCTAGGATTTTATTGAGGATTTTTGCATCTATGTTCCTGAGGAAGATTGGCCTGCAGTTCTCTTTTTTACTTGTGTCTTTCTCTGGTTTTGTTATCAGTATAATACTTGCCTCCAGGACTGATTTTGGGAGGATTGCTTCCTTTTCAATATTACTGAGGAGTTTGAGGAGTATAGGGATTATATTGCCCATAAATTTCTTGTAGAATTCTGCTGTGTATCTATCAGGACCTGGACTTTTCTTGGTTGGTAGGTTTAAGAATGTGGACCGTTTCATGAATGTGTACGTCATCCTTGAACAAGGGCCATGCTAATCTTCTCTGTATCATTCCAATTTTAGTATAGGTGCTGCCAATGCGAGCACTGTCTATTAATTTAGAGTGTGATATTGGCCCTTTTGTCACTGTCCTCCATCTTTTGGTATAGGGCTTTCACGACATTATTCCCCAAGTGCTCCAGATATTATCACCCAAGGGAAAACATGTGGTTAAGCAGATATGGTATTCCAGTTACGGTGTATAATTAGCAATAGTAATGACAGCAAGTGAAATTTAGAAATGCACAATATTTAGCAACTAATGGTTTTATAGTTTAGACCATAGGAGCAAACATTATAGCTGTATAACAAAGCTGATCATAAATTGGGATCTTGTATGTAAACTATTTTCCTTGATTTCTGTCTGGCTACCTCCCCTTCTTGTACGTGGAGTCTTCCAGGCAGGTTAGTTCACCCGTTACCTCCTGCCACCTCTGTGCCTGGAGGTTCCTCCCTGTTAATCTGGCACACAGTGGGCCCCACTGGACCTACCAATATGACTCAGCTTACTGTGTCCAGGCGTGGGCTTAGGCCTTCCATGCCACAGAACTCAGTCTTCTGGGCCTGGCCACAAGCCTCTGCTCCTCTGTGCCACTGAAGCTGGCCTGATGCACCGGGCTGCAAGTCTCAGCTTTATTAGAATTTTAGAAAATATTTCAAGTTCTACCATTAGTTCAGAAAATACGTGAAGTTACCCCCTATAAACAACCATTAAATTACATGGATTGAGTCATCCAATCCATTACTTTTAATTTGTAAGTGTAAGGAAAAAATGTGCAAGAAAGCCCTTTCAAAACACTTCACTGTTTGAAAGGCCAATTTATATATTTATAGTAGTTAATCATTTTGTCTGGTGGAACTAACAGTTATATCTAAATTGTGATAAAGTGATTTGAATTTTTGAAAGCTCTTCAAAACTCACATGCACAAAATAATCTATAAATTATCTATTATTCTTTAGAGGATATATACATATATATATATATATATATACACACATATATAAACAAGAAGTTTTTTGTTATTTTTATTGTTATTGTAGTACATTAAGCACAAAATTTTGTGAATAATCTCACATTCTTTCATAATAAAACAAAGAAAAAGGGAACAACCCGCTCGGGCCCCCCTCCTGTCCCTCTCTTGGACAGGAGCTTTCTTTCTCTGAATAAATATATTCTGCTCATAAAAAAAATAAAAAAGCAAAAACTATAATGTGTTAAATCCAAAGACAAGTTACATGTTAAATTGGTCACAAATAGCACACAATCCAAATGGTAGATGCTTGCTCAAGCTTGTGAAATTCAAGAATTTTCTTCATCAAAGTACTTAAGAGAAATATACCGACATTATAATAAGCTACTTTTGGTTATAAATGCTGAAGACATGTTTATAAAATACATTTGATCAGCAATACAATTTGTTATACTTGTGTAAATTATACTACTATAATATACAAAACAGCTTTAAAAAGGAAAGTACAATTGAAAACAAATTGTCATAGTCATAGATAATAGTATTTTACATACTAATAAAATAAGTGAATCTCAGAATAGCTTAAGAGCTTTATACCTTGCTAAAAAGTTCTTCATGAAAATGTTGGCAAAATTATACTCTCATACATCTCACAATCCTGTTTGCATGTTCATTTACAAAGTCAATTATTTTTCAAATCTTCTGAGTAGAATTTCTGTGTTCTTATATCCATATAACTTTGAAAAGCACAATAAATTTTAAAACGTGAATTACACATTACTGTCTTCTATATAGTTGTTCAGATCACAGATATAAGCACAGAGAGTTATTCTAAGTGAAAATTCTACATATTAACTGCTGTTTTAAAAAAACTTAGGGAAATTTTTAGTACCTTGGCCATCCTGAACAACTTGCATGTTGTTCTCCATGCCTTTTTTCCTGTCTTTTCTCCTTTCTCTTATCTTTGTTGTTCAATCTTTAAGTTCTGTTTTACTATATCTGATATAACCTTCAGGTTCTATTTTTTTTTAATTCTTACACTAAGGATACTATGTAATATTTAGACATGTGGGATGGTTAGTACAAAAAAATCAGGCTTGAATATTTGTCATCAAGAAAAACAAGAGGGACAAGAAAAAAAATTAAAGTTTCTGAAAAACAAGCAGTAATATGCAACTATATATCCAATCTTACATAACTACATCTATGAATCTGAACAAGGGATTTGATGACAAAAATAGATAATATGTCAATATTTGTTAATCAGCTATTTTATTCTGGAAATTTGTAACATATGCATTGTTGTATGCCATCCTGTTCCTGTCATTGTTGCTTATTGCTTTTGTCTTTTACTTTTAAAAATGAATAATATTAAGTTTAATAAAAATTAAAAACTTGAAAAATTTTCTCAATTGTATATTTTAATTTGTCGCATTTTCAAAGTTGAGACTATTTCCAGATAAAAGGACTTTTAGTCATATCTTGAGGCATTTGGCATACTATATTTATCAATGTCCAACATTAAGATATTATTTTAAAGATAAATTGTAAAAAGCATTTAATTTGTATGCATTTGAATAGAACATTGCTAATATGGAATTTGGGCAAAAGATATTTTTTCATTTGAGATTAAGTCATAGCTATTCTAGCTCTGATATTTTGTCTTGTGTTACTCATAAATATAATTTATTTTCATGTACTCACACTAGCTGAAAAGAAATATTACTTAGGGTAAAACCAATGATGAATATTTAGCCAACAAAAAGTATAGACAGATTGCTGAATTCATATTATTTCTAAATTGTGCATTTGTCCCAGAAAAGGGAGAGAGTTCACACAATTTAAAGCTTCAGGATTTTGTGATATAAATATAGTTACTAAAAATATTTTTATCACTAATAGTGCTGTGGTATAAAATATATAAAAAATACTAGTATTTGAAAAGTCATACAAAATGTTTTTCCTGTGTTCAATATTGTAATACAGAGAAGACAGGCTAGACTCAAAAAGTGACATATTCTTAAAATATAACCTTTGGATCAGCTTGTAATGGAAAAGAAAATTGATGTTAAATGAAGAATGAGATGGTAACTAAGAAAAAGTCAGAGGGAAATAGAAATATTAAAATTCTCTAATGGTCTTATAAATATTCACTCAGGATAGCTCTTGATCATCCCAGATAATATTGGTCATGGATTATTTTCATTATAGTAAGGAAATATAGTTTTAATCCCTAGATAGATTTGCCAGTAGTATTTTTGTTGTAGTTAAGTAGTTATTCAGATCTACACTAAATATATACGATTAATGAATAAAATACAGTACTTTGTGAAATTCCAGAATTGAGGAAGCACTTCAGTGGTATGTTAAAAAATAATACTTGGTAATCACAAAATGAAGTAATGCTTCATTTAGTGCAAATGAATATACATTCACTTATAAAAACTTAATGCTTCAGACATATTAAAATGATACTCAATATTTCACAAAAATGGTAAATGTTATGGTTCAAAAATCTCTGCCTCTTGCCACTTTTGGACATTTAGAGATTCTTTTAAATAGATGATGGTAGAAAGTTTTTACATCCAGAGTTGGCTATTTCATCCTTTTCAAGTTATATAGGAGGAGGAAGGAAGTAGGGAGGAAGGGAAGGAGGGAGGGAAAAAGGGAGGAGGGGGAGAGAGAGAGAGAGAGAATCAGAGAGAGAGACAGAGACAGATAGAGGCACATAACTGGTCACAGTATTAGTTGTGCATCTGGATGGTATTATTTTTCAGATCTACATCAGAGCTAAAAGTCAAATTAATAGATCATAAATGTTTTTGAAAATATTTTTGCACCATGTCTTTAAATTTTTAAACTTCATTTAATTAAGGAGAAATTACTTCAGAGTCCAGGATTTTATATCTTTTGAATGTATTTTCTTCAAAATTATACATTTATATTAATTTCTAAAAAATTGGCACCAGTATAAGTCATGAGAAAAAAAAAGAATTTGGCAAAGGGATTGATTAAAGAAAAAAGTTTGCACTTGTCTCCATTATATTTGTGGATTTTAAGACATGCGGTTTTTATTTTAGTCAAAGATATACACGTCTGTATTTTTCATAACAAATTTGAAAGCGTTAACTAGCAAACAGGAAGTGAGTCAGTTCAAGTATTTCTCAACATTAGAAGAAAATTATAACTTGTCAGTGAAACGCGAAAATCATTTAAGCTTGTCAGCTCTCAGAAGATAATGTACAGACCAGTGAGATAGCTCAGCGATCTAAAATGTGTGCTTAGGCAAGCTTTGGCAGGTGCAGGGGACCTCGGTTTGGTCCCCAGCATCACATGCCATGGCAGCCCTGCGCTCAGGGTGACCTGAGCTGAAAAAAATGTATTTATTCTGATGGTTTAAACTGTAAATGATGAAAAATACTTTTTAAAGGCATAAAAACTAAAAAATAAAACACGAATTTTATAAAACTTGAAAACTTGCCTTTAAGAAGTATTTAATTAAAGCAGTGTTTCTGTTGTATCTGTGTTGTTTAATTTGTATGTGTGTTCTTAAAACATAGCATTTGGCACATTAAAGGGCAATACATGATATTGCTGGAAGAAAATAGGTGGTGGTCTGGATATTACATGGTAAAGAGGGTGCACTTGTTCAGCAACAAAGTATGGAGCAGGTTGATAAAAGCATGTTACACTTTCTGCATTAGGTAGAGCATTCTGTTCTCCAAGTACATTCAAAGCCATACGAGCGATCATGTTCAGAGTTTCTCTTCTTTCACGAGCCATGAGGCAAACAGTGCTTTTGTTCACAATGTCATGCAAAGTCTTAAGGTAGTTATACTTGCTGTTTTCTTCTCCTATGAAATGGTTGAGTAAGTAGGATTCAATTTTCTTTTGCTGGTTGGCTATATCAGGAAAATCAATGAAAAACCTAGAGCACATATAACGTTCTAAGATCTTGATTTCTTCTTCACAAGCTGGCTTAAAATCATGAACCAGCAAGTTGCTGTACTTCAGAAGACCACCACCTCTAATTTCTTCAGGATTCCTGGTAAATATAAGCTTGTCTTTTAAATGAGTCATTGCTTCTTGGAAATTGCCATACATGCTTTCCGCTACCAAAACAGGACAGGATTCTTCGGTTAACTTAGCATTTTTGTCATAGTACAAGTCCAACATGGGATCCAAAATAATTTGAAAGGAGTCCACGCTAAATTCAAACTGTCGTTTGAGTGAATTCACAAATTTTAGCTCTACATTCTTCCCATTGTTATTTGAAAGAGAGATGAGACTCCAGCGATCATGTTCATTGCAAATTTTGACCATCTTCTCCACATAAGCCCCTTTCATATTTTTCAGGGTAATCCTTTCTCTTTTTGTAGCTTGTGGTAAAAAGTCAATTAGACAGCTTAGAACCGTGTCCTTAACAATATGAAATTCTTCATCAGTTGGTATTACAACACCAAAAATAATGTCCACATCCTTATAGGTGATTCCACTATGGCTTGAAAGCACATAACTTGCTGTGGAACCATTCAATCGGGTATCTTTGACATTAATTCCTTGTTTTATGAGTTGCTCTTTCACAATGTGAATGATATCTTTTGGTTTTACCTCCAGTGTGGGGAAATTTCCCCTTCCATGAACTGGAACTACTTCATCTAACACATGATCCAGGGCTAGAGCTTGATCCCAAGAGAGATTGCTGAATCTGCTTTCAGACATTGTGAAGTCAGTAGATCAACTATGGAGCAAGCAAAATATTGAAAGGAAACATCAGCATCTTCAAACCAATGTTATAATGACAGCACATGAAAAAGTTGAAAACATACAAATACTAAAAATAAAGCGAGTTAATAATGGGAAATAATTTGTAAATGTACATAAGCATGTTCAAATCCAGTAAAAGAAAAGTCACAATGATTTTATCAAAACTGTTAGAAGAGCCAGCAAGATAGCTCAGCAGACTAAGCACCTCCTTTGGCAAGTGCAGGGACCAGGGTTTGATCCTTGGACCTGCATGCCATGCTGGCCCCACCTCTGGGGTATGCAAAGCCATGAATTGAGTCTGGGCATGGTGGTGCATGCCTGCAATCCCAGCAATTAGGAGGCTGAAAACAGGAGAATCACTACAAGTCTGAGCTGTGTAGTGAGACTCTGTACTAAAAACATAAATGTAAAACAAAAACAAAAACAAAAACTGTTAGCTTCATTGGTAAATGAAACTAGATTTTGCAAGAATTTTTTTGAGCTGTAGTTATTATTAGTGTGAAATGGTGGACTTTCTTAACCTTTATTCATGCAAATACTATAATGATGGTGTTTGGTGTTAATAAAATCTGTTCATGAGATAATCATAGAACATTATTCAGGTTAATCATCATGAATTTTGATCAAGGCTGGCCAGGTGGTGAGTGAAGGAAAGTGATTATAAGAAGTGCACCAGAAGAAAAGTGGTCCACTGTGGCGGGGGTGATAGAGAAAGCCAGTTTGGGGGAAGCTAAACAGAGAGAAAAACTTAGTAGACCAAAATCTAGTTTTGAAAGGTTTTGAAAAGGAAAATCTGGTTCAGAAAGGTTTTGAAAAGGAAGCTGGACTGCAGTATCTCTTACACTTCAAGTCCACTCTACATGCAATCCAGTGATCTAAATAGTACCTTTCACAGGCATTTTAGGGTAACCCTTACTAAAATTGTGCATGGAAGATCCAAATTTAAGCTAATTATTAACATGTTAACAGGTTTTGACATTCTCAGTTTCCCTCAACCTCCAATTTCAATTCCTCCATCTGTATACATCCTCTAGCTCCAAAAATATTCTCTCAACTCCCCTTAACACTAGCTCTTTACTCAAAACCAATCATAGAAGTATCTGATCTCCTGTATTTTACCTATTGATGTTTCTCTTCTCTCACTCTTCTTAGTGACTTAACACCTTCCTTTTACTCTTCTTTTCATCCACCCTCCCTCTATACCCCAGTTGTACTATTGCTAGCAGTATAGTACAGTCTGTAAGGAACATTGATAAAAGGTTGAAATTGTTTAAACAAGTTTTAACGTATATGACTGATACATTCTTGGATCTGTTGATATTGCTATAACTAGCAAGGATTTCTTGAGAAATCGAGTCCAAGTCCATTAGACTTAAACAGTAAAAGAGGTAGATTAATAAACACAAAGGCAAGATCACATCACTGGAAAGCAGACGTAAAGAGATCTCTATAATGGCTTTAATTGAATCTCAGTCCTCAGCAAATAAAGCACAACAATGGTGACAAAATAAAAAGCCAAATGGTTGAATTATATAAAATGATAAAACAACAAAGGTCAATGAGTGCAAAGACCATGTATCTATACAGCTATATAATCTTAAACAAAATGGCGAGTGAACTTGAAAAAAGAGACAAAAAAAGCACTGCTAACTACCAAGTTTCAAACTACAAATGATAAATTTAGGTAAGAATTAGGGTCCATGAAAAGACATCAACCCGAAATTCAGACAATGAAAAATTCTACTGAATGTATGAGCAAAAAATTTGACGATTTCAGGAGAGAGTGCCAAATATAGAAGATAGCGCTGATAGATGCAACCGTATACCAATAGAAACCTTTTAAACAATAACAAAATAGAGGAAGTTGATTCAGGAATTGCTAGGTTATTAAAAGAAGACTCACCTAAGATTAACTGGAGTCAGAAAAGTCAGAACAAACCACGAATGGTAGAAAAATATTATATAAAGAAATTATAGCAGAAAACATTCCACGTATGGAGAAAGGATTTAATATACAGGTAAGACATAGAAAATCCCCAAATAGCCATGACCAGAGAAGTTCCTCACATCATCTATTAGTCAAAGTACCAGAAGTCCAACACAAAGATAGCATCTTATAAGAACAGAAAGAAAAACAAATAAGGACTTATAAAGGTAAACCCAAAACAATTATAGCAAATTTCTCAACACAAACCTTAGAGGCTAGGACAGCATCCAGTAAAGTATTAAAATCCCTAAAAGAAAACAACATTCAACCAATAGTACTATATTCTGCAACCCTATCTTTCAAAATTGGTAGTGAAATTAGGACCTTCCATGACATAAAACATCTTAATTCATGACCATGCAACCAGCACTCCAGAAAATACTTAAGGATATCCCAAACACAGATAATGAAACCAACAATGTCATAAGGTTCATGTAATGTGTAAATCAAGCAAGGTGGTCAATTATGAAAAAATGATGAAAGAAAAGGGAATGAACAGCAGAAAAAAATGCAATGAAAGCAATGTCAATAGCCTTCAGTATTAATTCTCAATGTAAATGTTCTCAACTCCCCAGTTAAAAACACAGACAGGCAGAAAGGATATAGAAAGAGACCCAACAGTGTGCTGCATACAAGGGACATATTTAATCTAAAAAGGAATCCATAGATTAAAAACTAAATGATGGAAAACAATATTCAATGCAATGTGTCCATGATCAAGAAAACAAGCAGGAACCCTATTTTCAAACAAGGTGAACTTGAAGTCAAGACTGATTAGAAGTGCCAAAAACTGTCTCTATATATCAGGCAAGGGAACAATTCAACGGAAAGAGATAACAAATACATATGTAAATATATATGAACCAAATTCCAGCATGCACAACTTCATAAAATAAATATGACTAACTATAAAAGGTCAGAGAAACATCGATGCAATCATCTATACCTTGTTGAACGAGAGAACATGTTAATCTCAGGAGCACATAAAACTTTCTCCAGAACTGATAACATACTAGAACACAAAGCGAGTTTAAATAAATACAAAAGGAGGGCAGGGAGAGAGCTCAATAGAATAAGCGTTTGCCTGGCAAGCGCAAGGTCCTGAGTTCAATCCCCAGTACTGCAAAAATAAATAGATAAATAAATAAATGCAAAAGAATCAAAATCAATCTATATAAATTATCATACCATAGTACAATA